GCTGAAGAGCTGAGGGACAGCGCCCAGGCCCAGAGTTCAAGCCCAACTGACCAAAAAAAAAAACCCAAAAGCTAAAAAGTGGGGCCTCCGGCTGGGAAGGTGCTCAGTGGTAGAGCACTTGCCTTGCATGCCTGAGGCCCTGGGTTCGATTCCTCAGCACCACATAAGCAAAAAGAATAAAGCCGGAAGTGGCTCTGTGGCTCAAGTGGTAGAGCTCTAGCCTTGAGCTGAAGAGCTGAGGGACAGCACCCAGGCCCAGAGTTCAGGCCCCACGACTGGACCCCCCCCCAAAAAAAAAAAGTGGGACCTCTTGATAGAAGCAGGGTGGGGAAGTTTCTCAGAACACTCAGCTCCAGGAGCGTCCTGAGGCACAAGGTGTCCTGGAGGTATGGAGCCCAGTTGGAGAAGAGGGGCTTTGAACCATCCACATGTCTTCCACTTGGTTGCTGCTGACTTGTATCACTTGTCATGAACTGACAACACAGGTAAAGTTTCCTTCTGAATGTTCTGTGAGTTGTCCTGGCAAAGTATTGTGCCCAAAATAGGGACATTGGAGACCCTTAAATTTGTGGAAAACAATCTATGGCCAAAATAGTCAGAAGTGAGCCTGAGTCTTTGGCCTGTCCAGTTGACGCTAATTCTCAGTAGTGTCTGAATTTTTAGACATCTAGCTAATGTTGGAGAATGGGTTGGTGCTGAGGATAATATAGATTTGGTGTTAAGAAAAAGAGGCATTCCGATGGAAAGAAATGAACCTTAATATAAACCTCACATCTTATGAAAACATTAAATTAATATATTAGAAATCAGGAAACCTTGGAACTTAGGAGTAGGTATAATTTTTTTTTTTTTTTTTTTTGTCATGGGAGCTGAACTCTGGGCCCAGGCGGTGTTCCTCAGCTCCTCAGCTCAAGGCTAGCACTCTACCATTTGAGCCACAGCTCCACTTCCAGCTTTTTTCTGCTTATGTGTTGCTGAGGTATTGAACCCAGGGCCTCATGCTTGCAAGACAAGCACTCTACCACTGAGCCAACTTCCCAGACCCCAAGGTATAATTTTAAACTGACAACAAACATCAAGAACATCTAAAAGGAGAAATATTTAAATTGGACGTTGTTTAAAAATCCTTTGCCAAATTTTTTTTTTTTTTTTGGTTCCGGTCGTGGGGCCTGAACTCTGGGCCTGGGCGCTGTCCCTCAGCTCTTCAGCTCAAGGCTAGCGCTCTACCACTTGAACCACAGTGCCACTTCCAGCTTTTTTCTTTTTGCTTATGTGGTGCTGAGGAATCGAACCCAGGGCCTCAGGCATGCAAGGCAAGCGCTCTACCACTAAGCCACCTTCCCAGCCCCCCTTTGCCAAATTTTTAATTTCACAATGTGATTTTTTGTTGTTTCTTCCCCCATGGTATAATCCCTGTTTTCACTGTATTTGATAGGTGCCCTGCATCCTGTATATGCATTTTTCTGATTTGGGGAGGGGAAGGGATAACAAAATGATGAAATAAGGATAAAGGATGACCCATGTAACAACAATATGTACAAGACATTAGGTTGAGGGGGAGTTATGGTGTAGTTGGGGAGGGGAAGGGATGCTAGGGGAAAAACAAAGGAGGAGGTAACAATGCGTGATAGGAAAACAGGACTCATTACCTTGCTTAAGTAACGGTAACCCCTCTGTACAGTATATTTACAATAAAAATATATAACAAATAAAAAAAAATCCTTTGCCAACCTGGGTGCCCGTGGCTCACACCTGTAATCTTAGCTATTCAGGAGGCTGAGATCTGAGGATTCCGGTTCAAAGCTAGCCTGGGCAGGGAAGTCCATGAGACTCTTTATCTCCAATAAACCACTCAGAAAACCGGAAGTGGCGCTGGGGCTCAAGTGGTAGAGCATTAGCCTTGAGCTGAAGAGCTGAGAGACAGCGCCCAGGCCCAGAGTTCAAGCTCCAGAACTGACAAAAAAAAAAAAAATTCTTTGCCAAAGCCCCTGTTAAGGACATAAAACAAATTGGAAGAAAATTTGTGAGTTATATATCTGACAAGTTATATTTAAAATATATAAAGACCTCAAGGCATTTATTAACTAGAAAGAGGCAGAAGACACAGTAGATACTTTACTGTTTGAATAAATAGATGGCAAATAATCATGAAAATGAGTTCAATATTGTTAGTCATTAGAGGAATGCAATTAAACCACAGTATTACTACACCACAGAATGGCTCCTGTTAACACCAAATTCTGGTGACAATGTGGACAAACTGATACATATACCTTGGTGGTTAGAATGTTAAACAGTATACTACTATGAAACAGTATGACTTTTTCTTTTCTATGAGTAATTTATTAGCATGTTTTTTTTTTTGTTTAAAAGTATAATTTTGGTGGGCTGGGAATGTGGCTTACTGGAAGAGTGCTTTCCTAGCATGTATTGAAGCCCTGGGTTCAATTCCTCAATACCACATACTCAGAAAAAGCTGGAAGTGGCATTGTGGTTCAAGTGGTAGAGTGCTAGCCTTGAGCAAAAGAAGCTCAGGGACAGTGCCCAGACCCTGAGTTCAAGCCCCAGGACTGACAAAAAAATTTTTTTAAAGTAATTTTGTTATTAAGGGGTTAACAACACAGGGGTTATATTTCATAAGTCAAATAATGAGTACATTTTTTTTTCTTTTTTTTTTGTCGGTTATTAGGCTTGAACTCTGGGCCTGGGGGCTGCCCCTCAGCTCTTCAGCTCAAGGCGAGCGCTCTACCACTTGGAGCCACAGCGCCACTTCTGATTTTCTGGTGGATTATTGGAGATTAAAGTGTCATGGACTTTCCTGCCCGGGTTGGCTTTGAACCGTGATCCTCAGATCAGGTGGCTGAGGCCACCTGAGTAGCTAGGATGACAGGTGTGAGCCACTGGCGTCTGGCCAGACTTTTCTGTTTTTAACACCAACCAATTCTTGTTACACTACAGCAATTGTGCTCTGGGTACCCGTCCCCTCCCCAAAGTGCACAAAATGTCTTGATTTGTAATAGCAAATTACTGGAAGCAAACCCGATGGTATTAAACTGGTGCAGTGTTTAAATGTTGTATACTATGGAATATTACTTAGCAATCATCAGCAACAAACTGTTTCTAGATGCTACCTTCATAGGTTTCAGGCAAGTTACAAACAGTACAAAAGCAAATTTCAGTAGACTACACATATGTCACATACGTGACATTCTGGGCCGGGAGGGTGGCGCAGTGGTAGAGTGCTCGCCTTGCATGCATGAAGCCCTGGGTTCGATTCTTCAGTACCACGTAAGCAGAAAAGGCCGTAAGTGGCGCTGTGGCTCAAGTGGTAGAGCGCTTGCCTTGAGCTGAAGAGTTGAGGGACAGCACCCAGGCCCAGAGTTCAGGCCCCACAACTGACCAAAAAAAAAAAAAAAAGGACATACTGCTCAGATACGTGTGTGTAGTCTTTCCAAACGACCTTCGGGAGCTGGTGGAGGGTGCAGCCTGGCCCCCGGTCTTCGGGCCCCCATCCCCGACTTATTCCTGACCCCCTTCCCCTCTGCCTCTCCTCTTCAGATTCTGTCTGCAAGTGCAAACTGCACTGCAGTGAACCTGTGTCCTTCAGGGCCTCCGGGCCCTGGGCCTGTCGTGCGCCGCTCCCCGGCCGCCCCACTGTCCGGCCTCCATTTTCATTGCTGCCTAGTGTTCTCTCCTGTGTCTTTCTGTCCTCTCCCTGTCTTGCTCATCCTCATCTCTGTTCCCGCTCTCGGCATGCGCGCCGCGGGCTTCACGACTGCTGCCAATCCCAGTTTAAGTCTGATCTCTCACATCTCCGCCTTTTCCAGCTTTTTTGTCACCTGCTCTCAGGTCCTGGGGTCCTGGGCGCCTCTGATTTCCTCTTGTTTACCCAGTTGCCATGGCACCGGAGGTGGTGCTGGCGCAAAGGGGGAGGGCGTTGCCTCTGATTGGACGCTGGCCCCGCCCCTGCAGCCTCAGCCCTCGGAGGCGCGGTCCCCGCACAGCATTCGGGGAATTGGAGTCCGCGAGGCATCTCCTAGTGCATGCGCAGTTCTACTGTCGCCATCGCACCACTTTTGGGTCGGGGGCTGCGGGAGCCCGTGGGTTGTTGCTGCACGGAAGTCGGGTCGGACCACCTCACGGGCCTGACAGGCCGGTGGCTGGGCGGGGCGGGCGGGGGCCGGGACCGGAGGCCTGGCTGCTTCTCTGTTGCGGTTCACCCGGCGAGCGCCGCCCGCAGCTCGGGACGCCCGCAGCTCGGGACGCCCGGCAGCTCGGGCCTCCCTGGAGGGTGCAGACGGAGCTCTGTGCTGGGGTGCAGCTGCGGTGGTGGATTGGGCTCACTGATGTTCTAGGCGATTCCATCTGGGTTCATCGTCGGCGGCCTTGTAATTTTCCCCTGTATCTTATTCATGGGTAATTGCCGCCCTCCCCCCCCCCCCCCCCAAAACAAAAAATTTCAAGCCGGGCGTGGCTGCTCACGCCTGTGATCCCAGCTACACAGGAGGCTGAGACCTGAGGGTCGCGGTTCAAAGCCAGCCCGGGCAGCAAAGTCCGCGAGACTCATCTCCAGTAAACCACCAGGAAACTGGAAGTGGCTCTGTGGCTCAAGTGGTAGAGCGCTGGCCTTGAGCTAAAGAGCTAAGGGACAGTGAGTGGCTCAGGCCCAGAGTTCAAGACCAATGACTGACGAAAAAAAAGAAGGAAGAGGCTGAGATTTGAGAATCAAGGTTCAAAACCAGCCCAGGCAGGAAAGTCCCTCAGATTTCACTCCACCAAAAAGCTGGAAGTGGAGCTGTGGTTCAAATGGTAGAATATGCTTAGGGACAGTGCGCAGGTCTTGAGTTCAAGCCCCAGCTCCTGCGATCGATCGATAAGATAGATAAAATTCTGTATGCGATTTATGTGTGGGGTTGCATGGCTAAGCTCAGAGATGCTGGCTTTGCTCTGATACCCTTGGCAAGGGTCTTCACCATGTGTCTTGTTGGCACCTTCTGCAGATCCTTGAGTCCTGATACCGGTGGTCCTCTTGTGTGTGCCTTGCCTTAGTACAGACAGTCACGTTTTGGTGGAGGTCTGTGAAGATGCTGCCTTTGGAGAAGGTGTTGGCCTCCCCGAGGAGCTCCCCACTGCCCCCAGAAACGCCCACACTGGGGTCAGACGACACAGTCCAGCAGGCAGAGCGCAGCCCATGGGAAGAGCCCAACCTGCAGGAAGAGTTCATCCAGCAGGAGGAGTGTGTCCTGGAGGAAGAGCCAGTCCAGCGTGAGGAGCCGTTCCAGCATGAGGAACCGGTCCAGCATGAAGAGCCCATCCAGCATGAGGAGCCAGTCCAGCGTGAGGAGCCGGCCCAGCGTGAGGAGCCCGTCCAGTGTGGGGAGCCGGCCCAGCGTGAGGAGCCGGCCCAGCGTGAGGAGCCCGTCCAGCGTGAGGAGCCCGTCCAGCGTGAGGAGCCCGTCCAGCGTGGGGAGCCGGCCCAGCGTGAGGAGCCGGCCCAGTGTGAGGAGCCCGTCCAGCGTGAGGAGCCGGCCCAGTGTGAGGAGCCGGCCCAGCATGTGGAGCCTGTCCAGTGTGAGGAGCTAGTCCAGCAGGAGGAGTATCTGCTGGGGAAAGAGCCCAACCTGCAGGAAGAGGATGACTTGCAGGAGGAGGATGACCTGCAGGAGGAGGCCTATCTGCAGGAGGAAGTTGAACTGGAGGACGAAGATGATCTGCAAGAGTCTAGCCGTCAGAAGGGATCTGAGAGGACCCCTGCTGACCTTGAGTTCTCCCGTCTGCGCTTCCGAGAGTTTGTCTACCAGGAGACTGCTGGGCCTCACCAGACTCTGGCCCGGCTGCACGATCTGTGCCGCCAGTGGCTGCGTCCCGATGCCTGCTCCAAGGAGGAGATCTTGGAGCTACTGGTGCTGGAGCAGTTCCTGGGCATCTTGCCGGACAGGGTCCGCCCCTGGGTGGTATCCCAGTACCCGGAGAATTGCACGAAGGCTGCCTCTCTGGTGGAGGGTATCTCTGATGTTTTGGAGGAACCAGGTGAGTCTGCCGACCCAGAAGGAAGCATGCTATGAGCAGTTTACTATGTGCAGTTCAAACCCGTTGTGGCTTTTCTGAGATCTTAGTCACCCATGTATAAGATGCAGAAGCATGCACAACTCCAAGCCCCATTGCCCTGCCCAGTGGCTTCTCTCTAAGAGCTGCCTCAAAGTTAAAACAGCTGCCTGGGCTCTTGCCTTCATGTCTGCTTTCCAGAATCTAGGAAACAGGAGAAATGGAGGGCAGTCAAAGGCAGAGAGCAGGCTCTTAAAGACTAGGTAAACATTCTGGGTGTATCGCTAGCTGGAGGTTTCCTCCATGTCTAAGGGCTGGGACCTGGGGTTGGACGAAGAGGCCTGGGGGCCCAGAGGCCCTGTCATCACCTGGGTTCCTTCCTGGTCCCTGCATGGGTCCCCATCTTTGGGGTCCCTGTTCATGCAGTGGTTTACTTGGTTGTTCACAGGGATACGGCTGTGCTCTCCGGGCGGGTCGACTTCTTCCTTCAGTGAGGGGGACTATGAGAGGCACTCTGACCCTCTGCTACTACCAAGAGGGCTGCTGAGCCCCAGCGGAGACCCAGATACTGGTGAGTGTTACTGGGTCCAGTGTGAAGTGGTGGATGTGTGGTTAGGAGACCATCTAGGGCTTGTTTCAAGTGGTAGAATGCCAGCTGCAAATGGTAATGCTGAACAAGAGCATGAGGCCCTGAGCTCAAGCTGCAGTATCAGAACACAAAGAAACTAAAACGAAACATTGCCTCTTCTGTGGCTTAAATGGGCATTTCTGGGGCTCCTCCTGGATCTGGGCGCCTTGTTAGTTTTGTGACCATGCTCAGTACAGACAGAAGTGTTTGCTGAACTTTGACACATGTGACACAACGTAGGGCATCTCCACCTTCTTCCGGGGGCTGTGTGGGTGGAGTGGGCCCGGCTTGTTTTGGAGGTGCTCAGCCACAGCATTTGTCTCCCCAGATCTGCCATCACTTCTCCCTGCCTGGCCAGCTCTGGAATCCATGCATCTGGATCAGGAGAATTTGGGGAGAGAAAAATCTGAAGAGTCTGACATTGATGCAACTGAGCCAAAGGTGGGTGGGGCCACTGGTATTGTGGAGGCCAGGGGACTGCTACAGGCGGCACTGGAGGCTGACCATGTCCAGCGGCTCCTGGAGTCTGTTCCCACAGGAGAGGCTTTGTCTCTCCCTGACTGTTGACCAGCTTCCCAGGGCTAAACTCTGCTGTAGTGAGGGATCTGAATATCTGTAGGGTGAGGTGTACGAGACCTTACAGAACTCAGGAGAGGGGTGTAGAGCGGTGCGTCTCAGGGTGGGTCACAGTCCCCGGGTGGGTGCTTGTTCCTAGCCAGTGCTCTTGGGGCCACCTTGCTGTTTTAGACAGAGTCGCTCCCGGATGAGACTCTGGCCTTGGGAGAATGGAACCAAATAGACCCCACAGAGGAGAACCTGAAGAGCTACGAGAAGCTGCTCCTGAGTGGTGAGACCTGCCTCCTGGGGGCTTCGCCTTACCCCCCCTTCTCTCCCAGCTCTGCTGGCACAGGCCAGCACAGGCAGTCCTGACTTGGGCTATGGTTAGAACACCAAAGGAATTTTCACACTTTTCTTTTAATTGTTATGTATTAAGGTGATGTAGATGTGTTTGAACCTGAGCATGTTTTAAGTGCCTTGGGACTTGGACTTACCTGTTTGCCAAGATCCTCATCCATCCTAGTCTACTCTTTTGAGTTCTTCCTGGGCCTCAGGACTTTCTGTTTGCATATCTGCCTGTGGAATATGAAGCCACTAAATTTAGAAAGGCCTGGGCCCAAGATGCCAATACTGTCACATAAGTACAGAGATTGACCTGACAAAGGCAGAGGCTTCTCTCACAGAAGTTCTTACCCCAGAATTTGCCTTTGCAGTGAGCCACAGTCAGATTCCTGGGCCCTTTACAAGGTTCTAATTTTATGGTTTTGTTTTGGTGATGCTTAACTTAGACCCAGAACTTCACTCATGCAGGTCTGAGGCTTGGACTCAAGGCCTAGGTGCTCTCCTGAGCTTTTTTTTTTTTTTGGCTCTTATCACTTGAGCATAGCTCCCCTTATAGCTTTTCTGCCTGGGCTGGCTTTGAACCTTAGTCCTCAGATCTCAGCCTCCTCAGTAGCTAGGATGACAGGCATGTGCCACAGTTAGGTGATCCTTCTTAGCACTGAGCTAAACTCCTAGCCCAATTTTATGTTTTTCTCTCTAACGTTTCTCACCCCTGGACTCTCGCCTTCTGCTTGTCCTCATTGTGCTTTCCTCCTCACCAGGCAGACCCTCTGCTTTATCTCTGCTTCCTTGTGCTCAGAACCTCTGGCTGTCCAGGGGCTCTGGAGGTTGCCCTCCAGTATAAAGAAAAAGACAGGCTGCCATGTGGGGACCCCTCTCCTGCACCCCACATCCCCTCAGCTGCTTTGTACGGATACCTTTTTTAGTCTGTACTTTTTAACTTAACTCAGGGTATGAGCTTTCTCAGCCGTGCACCGCCTTTGTGCTGGAGGCAGAGGACCTGGAAGAACTACCGGGAGGCAGACTCCAAGGTGAGGTCAGGTTAGAGACCAGGGTGTGGTCCGGCGGGGGAGGCTGGCATGGGGGGGGATGAGGGTCAGGTCCAATGGGGGGAGGCTGGTGTGGGGGATGAGGGTCTAGTGGGGGAGGCTGGCGTGGGGAGGTGAGGGTCAGGTGGGGGAGGCTGGCGTGGGGAGGTGAGGGTCAGGTGGGGGAGGCTGGTGTGGGGGGGGATGAGGGTCAGGTGGGGGAGGCTGGCATGAGGAGGTATAGACCTTCTTGCCCAGGCCCACACAGCTACATGCCTCAGCAGAGACCTCATCTCAACTCCAGTAGTCATTCCCCCTCTCCCTATGTTGGAATCCAGTCATTTCATTGATCTCTTATGTATAAAAAACTGCCCTGAAACTGGGTCGCCTAAAAGAATTCTGTGGCCTGTGGATTGTCTGCACCCAACCCTGCAGCTCTCTGGCTTCATTTGGTGGCTTTAAGGCATGCCTAGGGCTGGGATGTCCTATTGGCCTTAGTGACACACTGCAGGAGCCCAGCTGGAGCTATAGGCCTGAGTTCTTCCTGTGGCTTCTCCGTGGCTGGCTTGGGCTCCTCACAGGACGCCCTGGGACAGTAAGTCTCCAGGACAGTAAGCATTTGCCACAGTCTTGCTTGTATGCTGTGTGCTTACATCCCATTGGCTGCAGTAGTTCACATGACTGAGTCAATGGAAAAACAGATTATCCCAGGGTCATTCCTGGGTGTCATAGGTCATAGTTGGCCAGTTGGTCCACCACAGGGTTCAGTTGGTCTTTGTTAGTGACCAAATAGTGACCCATCTCATGGCTCCATTGCCGATGGCCCCTTGTGGTCCTGAAGATTGCCCCAGATCTCACCTTCATAAACGCAGGAAGGAGGAAGTCCCTCCTTGCAGCCCGCACTTCTGAGCAGAATGCAGGCACAAGGTCACCTGGATTCGAGGCTGGCTGGGAGCGGGTGGATCTGTCTCCTAGGGAGCTCAGCTCTCATTCAGAGACTTGGAGGAGGGGCGGGGGAACAGGTGAGTCTTACGAGGCTGCCATATGGTCTCACCTAAGTTAAAAATAGGGCTGACTGACTGGGCATACCTGAACTTCTTGTCCCATGGCCTCTTTTACCCCATGCTTAGGTCTTTGGGCCTCACATTTTATTTTCTTGGTTTCTGCTCAGGAAGCAGCCTCTGTGGCAGGCTTGGGAGTCAGGATTGCTTACACTGTGACCTTGTTTTAGATGGTGGCAGGATACAAGAGAGCAGAGAGAATGCGTGCGAAGATGTCTGCATGTATAGGATGCTCATGGAGAGGCTGACGAGGGGTGCTCCTGCAAACCCTCTACTGGACGCCCGCCAGGGCGCTCAGAACGGAGAGTCGAGCTCTGCAAACCGTTCCCAGCGGCAGTCAGTCATCCGGCAGCCAGCCCGGCCCGGCGCCCTACAGCAAGCCACTGGAAGGAAGAGGCCCCATCCCAACGATGAAGATGAGCTGGGCCCGAAGTATCCCTCCAGTAGGAGCAGCCAGCAGCCATACACAGGGAAGGTGCCTGGCTATGCTGCCATGTCCTCAGCTTGGCTGGACCCAGGCCCCTCTACTTCCAGCTATTGTGTGGTTGATGAGCCAGGAGTGTGCACAGGGGAGCCCTACACCTGCAGTGAGTGTGGGGACACCTTTGCGTGGATCTCACAGCTCATAGAGCATCACAGGAGCCATAGCAGCAAGAAGCGCTTTGCATGCTAGGGCTGTCAGGAAACCACCTCTCCGTCCCGGCCCTGGTTTAGCACTAGAAGACCCAAGACAAGGAGAATGGCTCCGTCTGGAGTCCCCTCCCTGCCACAGTGGCACCCGCACTGGCGGGAGGATCTCCTTACCCAGAACACCACACATGCAGGAGCCACCTGCTCCGAGAGTCCCAGGAGGTGAGTTTTGGCCTTGTACACACCCTGGGCTAATGTTCACATCTGGGTAAGCCATCAGATGTGAAGGAATACTTCCGCAACGTTTGTACCGCCATCCATAGGCTGGATCATTTGACATTGTGCAGTGTAGAGTTGCCTTACAGTGTGTGATCTGTTGGCGCTTTCTTGAAGTCATTCTTGCCTCAACTGCTCACCAAGCTCCCCAACTTTGTTCAAGCAGAATTCTTGCCATCTGTTTTGGCCGTTTCACAAATATGTGATGTCGAGTTTACTTCTGAACCCTCAAAAACAAGCAATGTTTTAGTTTAAATAAAAGGGCGCTTGCAGCCTAGTGATGCAGTGTGGGGCCTTTAGAGTGTGATTTCCAGCCCATTAGTGAATTGTGGGTGGTCCCTGGCATTGCAGAGCAATGAAGTAGAATAAAGTAGGTCAGAATGCATCATGTAGTAAAGGCAAGTATTGTTGTGTGAAACTTTTCAGCTATGTATCTAAATAGGAGAGCTGGCAACCATGTAAACTGTATTTCTTACTAGGGGGTTATGGTTAAAACTGGTTAAAAACTGATGCTCCAACTGAGCAAAGAACCAAACTTGGTCTACAAAGGCGATCTTTTGATTTTGTGTTTCATTGCAGTATTTTCTGTTGCCTGAGCATCAGTTTAATTGCCTCCTACAGATACAGAAACTGGTGCCTCTTCTGTCAGTGTTTAGGCAATCTGTAACAACCCTGTCTGATATGCTTAATAAAGTATTTATTTCTTCACTCATATTATAGCTTACTGTTTGTGATTGTGCTGCTGCTTGCTTGTGTGTTGAAGGGAGGGACACTGCTCCCAGCAGGGACACGAGAATGCATATTGTGATGGCTCTCCGCTGGATACCCTTCATCTGGGAGAAGACATACACATCCCTGGAAGAAGTGATCCCATGGCTTTGTTCCTTATAATAAGATAGGAATGTCCACCCAGGTGCCGGTCTCTACCAATTACTAAGCCAAGATCGCTTGTCTCTACTACCTGAACCCCAAGTTAAGTGTGGCTCTGGTAAAAAGAGCCTGTGTCCCTAGCTTACCTGCCATCCTGCCTTCACCACTGCACTGGGAGACTTCCTCACCGTGTGTCCCACAGATAACTGTTACTCTAAAGCCCATCATGTTTTTCTTCCTTCTTTCTTTCTTTCTTTTTTTCTTTCTTTGTGTGTGTGTGTGTGTGTGTCGGTCGTGGGGTCTTACCTCTGGGCCTGGGCGCTGTCCCTCAGCTCTTCAGCTCAAGGCTAGTGCCCTACCTATCACTTGAGCCACAGTACCACTTCAAGCTTTTTTCTGCTTATGTGGTGCTGAGGAATCGAACCCGGGACCTCATGCATGCGAGGCAAGCACTCTACCACTGAGCCAACTTCCCAGCCCCATGTTTTTCTTTTTTATGCAGATACTGCGGCTTGCTCGTTGCTGGTACGGTACTACTTGAACCATGTCTCCACTTTTACTTTTTTAATTTCTGTGCCAGTCCTAGGATTTGAATTCAGGGCCCGTGGGGGCTGTCCCTGAGCTTTCTCACTCAAGGCTTGTTGGTGCTCTACCACTCGAGCCACAACGCTACTTCTTGCTTTTTGGTGGTCAGTTGGACATGAGTCTCACAGGTTTTCTGCCTGGGCTGGCTTTGAGCCATGATCTTCAGATTTCAGACTTCTGAGTAGCTAAGATTACAGGTGTAAATCACCAGCGCCCAGCTTTACCCTCTATATTGGCAGATGAGAGTCATGGATTTGTCTGCCCAGGCTAGCTCTGAACTGAAGGTCTCAGATCTCAGCCTCCTAAGTAGTGGAATTAGCTAGTATGTAAGCTACGAGCACTAAGATAATTCATTTTTTCTCATTTAAATGAATTTTTAAGATACTTTATCTGCTGAAAATTTGGATGTCAGAAAAAAGTACAAAAATCATCCAGATTTTGTTTTTCACACTTCCCCCCACACTCGAGTTTTGCATGTGCATGTGCCCTTTCCATGTAAAGGGACACTGTCACATCTGCATTCCTCAGGTGACACTAGTTCTGTTAATCTGTTCAGCGTTATTTCTCTATTCAGCAGGCTGTGGGAAGATGCTGTAAGATCCTGCACTTATTGTGCTCATCAAAATGTCACCCATTTATTTAGCCTCCATTGATGGGTTCTGCCCATATCTCTCTACTGTGGAGGTTACAAAGTGGTTTCCCCACACCACTTCCCAGTCATCCCAGCATTCTGTAAGAAGCACTCCCCTCCCCAGCTAGTAACTTTGATGTCCAGAACCAGACTGTGAAACACTACATTTTCTATTGTGAGTTTACATTCAGGAATCTTGTGCCATTTACTCAGACTGATCCCTTGCAGTCCATCTGCTTTCTCTGAAGATAACCCAAGAAGAAGCACAGAGAAGGGGAGATTTGTTTAACAAAAGTCAGAGCAGCACGGGCCAGCTTGTGATATGCCCTGTTCAGGACAGCCACTGGCTGGTCACTGTTGTTTAGAATTCAATTTTGAGCACTTGAAATGCTGCCATAGAACATTCCAGATTTCAAAAGCAGGATGAATGGAAAGATCATGAAGTCCTATGATCTTTGTAGAAAGTGGTAACATAAGCTGGGCACCAGTGGCTCATGCCTGTAATCCTAACTACTCAGGAGGCTGAGATCTGAGGATCACAGTTCAAAGCCAGCCTGGGCAGGAAAGTCTGTATATATATATATATAGTGTGTATATATATAAGTATATATACACACAATTAGAGATAATATATATACATATATACATGTATATACATATATATATACATATTTTTTTGTAAAGATACTGTAGAGAGCGGTTATAGTTACATGAGTAAGGTAATGAGTACATTTGCTATTGAGTATTGTTACCCCCTCCTTTGTTTTTCCCTTAACATCCCTTCTCTCTCTCCCCAACTCCCCTCCCCCACCATGACATGCTTATCTCTAATTAACCACCAGAAAACCAGATGTGGTGCTGTGGCTCAAATGGTAGGGCACTGGCCTTGAGCTGAAGAGCTGAGGGACAGTGCCAGGCCCAGAGTTCAAGCCCCACGGCTGACAAAAACCGTAAACATAACATAGGAGTAGTAGTAAATTAATATTACCTATTCTTGTTTTTTACTTCTTAGAACTTACTGTCTTTCGTGCAGGTTGAACTCAGGACCTGGGTGCTATCCCTGAACTCTTTCTGCTCTTTACCACTTTGAGCCACAGTGCCACTTCTAAGGTTGTCTGGTGGTTAAGTAGAGACTTTCTTGTCAGGACTGGTTTTGAACCACATTCCTCAGATCTTAGTCTCCTGAGTAGTTTAGGATTTCAGGTATGAGCCACCAGTGCCTGGCTTCATTTTCTTATTATTCTTATTATTATATATTTTTTCTGTCAGTCGTGGGGCTTGAACTATGGGCCTGGGCGCTGTCCCTGTGCCCTTCAGCTCAAGGCAAGCTCTCTAATGCTTGAGCCACAGCACCACTTCTGGTTTTCTAGTGGTTTATTGGAGATAAGAGTCTCACAGATGTTCCTGCCTGGGCTGGCTTTGAACTGCAATCCTCAGATCTCAGCCTCCCGAGTAGCTAGGATTACAGGTCTGAGCCACCGGCGCCCAGCTCATTTTCTTTTTAAAACGGTCTTTGCAGCTCTGGTGGTCCTCGGTCTCTGGAGTCCTGGGATTATGGGGTGGGCACCACCATACCAGCTTTTGATACTTGTAAAATGGGAGCATTAGAATCTATAAGGTTACCATGGTAGCTTGTATGGAATCTACTTGATGGTATTATGCAGTAGTTGTTCCTACTTACATAGCTTTTAAAGTAATTTTAAAGTAATTCCAAAAGGCATCTGACAAATACATCAAAGAACAGTACTGAAGACTGCTTGCAACATAGTTCACAAGAGAGAGACTGAGGGTTAACTGGGAGTTTGACACCAGGCCATTCATTTCATTTCTTTCTTTCCTTTTTTTTTTTTTTCCGGTCGTGTGGCTTGAACTCTGGACCCGGGCGCTGTCCCTCAGCTCTTCAGCTCCCGGCCAGCACTCTACCGCTTGAGCCACAGCGCCACTTCCGGATTTCTTGTGGTTTATTGGAGATAATAGTATCTCAGACTTTTCTGCCCGGGGTGGCTTTGAACTGTGATCCTCAGATCTCAGTCTCCTGAGTAGCTAGGATTACAGGTGTGAGCCACTGGCGCCCGCCTCAGGCCATTCATTTCTCATGAAGTGGAAAGTCACCTTCCCGGGTTGTGGTTATCAGGCTACTATTTTGGATTTGGGCTTCAGTGAAATGCTATGGGCTTATTCAGAAGGATAAGAAATGTTTACTGAGCATCAGGGTAAAAATATCAATGAAAAAACCCATCCAGGAGAGGGTTACCTGTACATTTCCTTGAAGACACAAATCTTCAGAAAGGTTCCATTGTGGACGCCACGGCGGACCACAACTCCCAGCACCCTGAGTTGTGGTCCACAAATCCCAGAATGCAATGTACCGCCGCGGACCACAACTCCCAGCATCCTGGCCGAGCGTGGGCCACAGCTCTCAGCAGGCTAAATGCATGCTCCCAGAGAACCTTGCGCGTCATTGGCGGACGTCCACTCTCAGCGCATCGCTCCGGGCGGCCTCAGTGGCTGTGAACTTCTGGTGATCGCTAGGCTTCCAGGGCGGGTCAGCGCACACCTGGGCTGGTCCACTCGCTCGCGCGCTGTCGCTGGGAAGCCCTGGCCGCCGGGCTCCTTTGCCGTGGAGCCTCTGTCTGGTTGTGTCAGAGGCCTGGAGGGCTGCGCAGGGGTGGGGTGGGGGCCAGTGGGGACCAGGGTGTTGTGTGGTGGGCGAGAGCCTGGGGCCGGGGGGGGGGGTGGGGGGTGAGGCCGGGGTGGGCCGGGCCGGGCCGGGATGTTGGGAGGGGATGGGGTGGAAGCGGTGAAGGGGGTGGCGGTAGCCTGGCTGCCAGACAGCACACCGCAGCACCGGATTGACACACTGACTTGTCTGATTTTGTGTGTCCTATAGAATGCGTTAGCTTTATAAGCATTTTCTATTTAGCATATTAAAAATATTCCAGTATATTTTGCGTGCATGTTTCAGTGTGGTGCTTCCAGTTTAGTGAATAAATATGAAGAAAGCCCAATTAAGGTAAATAATAAGCAATGAGTACTTCTCTAGTATCAGTCCCATATTTAGTCTGTTTCATATAATTTTTTTTTTTTTTTGGTCGGTCGTGGGGCTTGAACTCGGCCTGGGTGCTGTCCCTCAGTGCTTGAGCTCAAGGCTAGCACACTACCACTTGAGCCACAGCACCACTTCCAGGTTTTTCTGCTTATGTGGTGCTGAGGAATTGAACCCAGGGCCTCAGGCATGCAAGGCAAGCACTCTACCACTGAGCCACTTTCCCGGCCCTGTTTCATATAATTTTTTTTGGGGGGTCCGGTCGTGGGGCCTGAACTCTGGGCCTGGGTGCTGTCCCTCAGCATTTCAGCTCAAGGCTAGCATTCTACCACTTGAGCCACAGCGCCACTTCGGCTTTTTCCTTTTTGCTTATGTGGTACTGAGGAGTCGAACTCAGGGCCTCAGGCATGCAAGGCAAGCACTCTACCACTGAGCCACCTTCCCAGCCCCTCATATAATTTTTATTCATGAAAATTTTATATAACTATGTCTACCAAAACCAACTGCAATAAGTATGAGAATATGTGCCACAATGGAGTCCTTATATTTAGCCAATAAGAATGCAGGGTAACTAGGTATG